CATTTTTGCCCAATAACGATCTTTCACATTCCCTATTGTTATATTTGCTGGATCTTATAAAACCTTAATAACAAAAAAGACGACAAATCTATTGCTACGTTGTGAAGGAAATCTTACACTCTATGATATTATAATGATATAAATGCAATATATAAATATAAATGGATGCAGGAAAAGGAATTATATAATTGAATACAAATGTCATGCTATACTTATAAATTATTCATAAATAACAATTTTTAACAATCGAATGGTTAATAATTTATTAAACGCGATCTGTTGTAATTCCCATTTTGCTGTTTTTTGATTAAATCACGATCTGAATTCTCTAAGACTTCAACAATTCCCCGAACAAGCATTATTTTAATCTGTTTATCAATATCATCAGATTTATTCTCCGCTGTATGTTGAGGCGTATTGTTTCCATTCAATTGAGTTACCTCCAATTTTTCATATATTCGCGTTAAACACCGATCTAAAAGTATTTTTAATTTATTCACCAATGCAAAAGAACTATTTTCACCAATAAATTGTAACCAATCATCAACGATTAAGAAATTATTTGATTGACTACTTGTTCGAATTTCACCACCAAAGAGTATTGTTGATAATGGATCGATGCGTGTTGTACTTCTAAGAAATACTTGTTGCCCACTAGTCTTAACCTTGGACGAATATGCATAAAGTGTGCCTATAGGCGCAATTAAATTTTCATCAATTTCATTGCCTCGTTTCAAGTTATGGCTATTCTTCATGGTCGCTGCTAATTTTGCTGCTCGCTCTTTATAATTCACAGAAGCTGGATGAATGAAGGTTGCATTTTCGTGTCTAGTTCGAAATGTTTTTTTCGAAGTCTTTAATGCAATGTTAGGATACACTCCAGCACAAATTAATGCACGAAGGAGTGGAATACAATTAGAGTTCAAATTATATTCTGGTGGTCCTAACGCCAAGTAACGATGATGATGATTATGATCCCGTTTAGGGTAATATGTTGGCACAACTCCAGCACGTTCCAAGAGGCTTAATAATTGGAGTTTGATTTGTTCAATAGTTTGCAAGCATGGCCTGCTTAATAGGTTATCGGAACAAAATTTATTAGCAGCTTGTAATGCACCTGATGAATGAATTTCATACCAAGCTTTATAAACATTTAAAACCGCAAAGTGATCACATGCTAATCCTTGTGACCAATAAAATCTAATCTCATCAGCACGGTCTTTAGCATAAGGCGGAGACAAAAATGGATTCTTTGAGGCCATAGATGCGCCAATTGTTAAAATTGGATCTAGACATTGAAATATGGCACCCAATAGCACCATCTTACCCAAGCCTGGCTCCATAGGAAGTGTAGCCAGCACCTTCCCTAAAGAAGTTAGGTTCTCATTATAATCTAATGCTTGCAAGGACTTCAAATTCTCTAGAGCAGCAAAAACACTAGCTTGATCTGGAGGTTGAATAGCTTGTGAAAGAACGTCGCCAATCGTTGCCGGAAGACCAAGTGCTTTAATATGCAGACAAATCTCTTGCAAATCAGATCGCAGCATCTCGGGAGTAGAGTAACCTTCAAGAATTTGATATCGAGCACGTGTCATCATCACATAATATTCGCCTTTACGAACACGACCGGCTCTGCCCGAACGTTGACGAGAATTAGATTGACTTATCCAGGTAGTAATTAAATTTGTCATTCTTTTTGACTGATCATATCGTTTTTCTTTAACTTTGCCGGAATCGACCACATAAACAACATCTTGGATAGTTATAGATGTCTCCGCAATATTAGTTGCCAAAATAATTTTTCGCATGTTAGAATTTGGAAGTGATTCAAATACTTCTTGTTGAGATAATGAAGGAAGAGAAGAATGGAGAAAATGAATTCTAAACCTAGAATGATTAGAAAAATCAATACCAAGTGGGTATGGTGAAGAAGTGAGAAGCCGATTTAAAGCCATTATTTCTTCCAATCCAGGTAAGAATACTAGGATAGCGCCTTCCTCAGAAGTATTAACAATATGCGCAATTACCAATGCCATCAAGTTATAAGGAATTTCAGCATTGGCTTTCTCGATATCATTATGTTTCGAGCCCATCCAATCAATCATTCCATTTGATGATCCAACAAATATGTTATCATCATCAATTTCACTACAAAGATGATCTATTTCATTATCAATATCCATTGTATGACATTTCGTTTGAATGTTCATTTTTTGTGGCAACAATTTAGAAGATTTGCGCATTTGAGCAAATTGCATTTCACGATCAACATATTTTAAAGTGTCCGAATAACCTAATTGTGGTGCTTCTAATGATCCATAATGCGTACGCAATTTTGAGACAAGATCCTCCAAAAAGAATTGTTGTACCGGAAATATTTTACCAGGAACTTCGACAACAGGACACCTTCCAGTCGAGAAGAATTCACCAAAATATTCAGAAAAAATGCCTGTATCGATCGTTGCGCTCATAAGAATCAATTTAATCGGTGGTCTATTATGAAGACGTCTTTCACGAAGAATTTGCTTCAATATTACTAGTAAAAAGTCTGCATTCATATCTCTTTCGTGTACTTCATCCACTACAATATGAGTGACGCCTTTCAACGCATCTATTCCGTTTTTTTCATCATGCATTCGTCGAAGAAGTACTCCTGTAGTGCAGTATAAAATACTTCCGGTCGGTGCTGGTTCTACTGCGTCAAATCGAACGTGATATCCAACAGTTTGACCAAGTTTTTCTGAACGCTCATAAGCAACACGTTGGGCTACTGATATGGCAGCAATTCTTCGTGGTTGAGTTACAATAATATTACATAGTGAACCTCGCTGATTCATGATAGCATCCTCAAAAATCATTTGGGGTAACTGAGTTGTTTTACCACAGCCAGTTGATCCAACAATAACAACCACAGGATGGTTTTCAATCGCCTCAAGTATTACGTTGGAATAATGTGTAATCGGAAGTTGGTTGCGATTAAAGCGGATCTTTTCCGTTTGCTTAGAACACAAATAATGTTGGTGGTCTCGATAAAGCTTTTCCGATCTGGTGTTAAGATAGCGGGCTGTAAATTGACTCTTGTTCTTATTCTCTCTCTGATTTATTTGATCTTCAAAAGCTTGGTCGGATTTTGAACTATTATCTTGAGAATCAACTGATTTGTTGTCATCCGAACGAAGTATGCCGACATCGCATAGGTCATTGACCAGTCGATTAAGAGTATGAGTAACTGATTCACTTATTGAAGCATTTATTAACGGTGGTGGTTTGTTCGAATTTTTTACTTTGGTTTTATCAATTTCAAATCTCTCCCAAAGATTTGGTGAATCTTTACGTAATGCTATTGCGGCATCCAAATATGCAGCAGCTTGAGCTTCACGTTTGCTAGATCTTTTGCCTGAACCAATAGTTAAACCTTGAACTATCAAAGATGCCTCCCATAATGTACTGTGACTCGGTCCAATACTTCTGTAACCAAATTCTGGATTTTTGAATTTAAAGAATCTACAATAAAATCGGATAAAATTTCTTGCAACATCTTCCGACATCGTGTTACCCTCGGTTTTTGAAATGAGTTCATCACCATGAAGTGCTTTATATTCTTCAGCATGCTTCTTAAAAGCCTCTGCAGCTTTAATTTCTGCTTCTTTTTTGGTCCTACCACGTCCACGACCTATTAAACCTTGAGAAGGAAGTTCAACAACAGCTTCCCATTGTTTTTCATGATCGGGTCCTACACCAAAGACTTCAAAATGTGGAACATAATCAAATGCTGCACAATATTCAATCACTTGCTTCTTATAATCAATCTCTGAGCTTTGTTGAACTGATTGTCGAATAATATTCTGACGTTGACCAGATGGAGAAATCAAATGGATCATTAAGCCTTGAGCCTCAATAATGTAACATGAATTTAAAAAAGCGATCTTTTCAGCATCTTTTTTGGTCCTTGCATCACCATGACCAATTATTGTGGTGCCAGCAATTTCCAATGTAATGGTTGCTCTGTGCAATATATTGTCATCAGGACCGAATGTCTCCCACCTAATAGGATTTTGAATGATACCACCAAGAAAATTTTTTGGATACTTTAACCAAGATTCATTTTCTTTCTTTGAATTAACATCTACTGTATTATATCTTGAATTGATGTAATCCATATTATAGAACACATCGGGTAAAGGCCTTGTAGACTTTTCAATTTTAGCATTAAAATTTTGGTTTGATCCCCGAATAAAGGGTATGTTTTGTTGATTAGGCAAGGACTTACGATTCTTATTTTTAGAAAATTGGTCTGACAGTGATGATGGAGACAGATAAGCAGATTGTGCGTAAATAACATTCAAGTTCTCTCCATTTTGTGAATTTAACATTTTATTAGTCGAATTCATAGGAATATTTGAATGGTTATTTGTACGCTGTTTATTCTTAGAAAATTGGACCGACATTGGAGAGGATATATAAGCAGAAGTGTAATTAACATTCATATTCTCTCCGTGTGGTGATTTTTGTAACATTTTGCTCGTGGAATTCATAGAAACATTTAAATGGCTGTTTGCACGTTGTTTATTTTTTGAAGCAGGATCAACTGGTGGCATAGGAGATAAAGGACGTTTCTTTGTAGTTGACTGATTATTAGATATATTAGTCATCGGTTGAATTGGCCGATTTATTCCAAGAAAAGGCATTGACATGGTTTGAACAAATAGATAATTAAAAATAAAATAAAATGAGAGTAAAAGTAGGCAAGAAACAAAAAAAAAAAAAAAAAATTTTTTCGATATTCCTGGAAGGAAGACGAAAAAAAGAGATGAAAGGACAGGTTTGTGTTTTGTTTGATTATAAATAAATATTATTTTTCATTTGTTCAATTTTATTGCATATGTATGTACATGAGCTCAGTGATCGACCGTTATGACTCACTTGACTCACTCACATGAATATAAGATTAGATAATCAAATATGCTGGATCATTAATAACTTGACTGAGTGACCCCGGTCAAACCGACCAATCAGAACTAAGATAGCGTAGCAATCACTAAACAAATTTAATAAGTTTTCTTACATGTTTGTATTAAATTTTATTAAGTAGCGCTATTATCCGGAATGTATCCGGAATGTAGCCATGTTCAACTAATTGTTATAGTGCTACCAAAGAAAAACCTGTAAATATGATCTTACCTGAATGTGATGGAGTTTTGGTAGCACCATCTATCATAGGGTTATTTTATCATCGTTATTACAATGATAACGATAATTAATTACTTATTATGACCACAATTTACCTTCACTTACATTATATCATTATGCAATTATGCAATCTAAGGCTAGGTCCGGCAAAGTACGTAGAATTTTTTTTGCGAAAGCAATTAATCGATTAGTTATCAGCTAGTTTAATTACAATTACAATTACCGGTATTTAGTTTACTGTAATAAAAGCTGGTTATCTAACTGGCAATATATACATACGTACATACGTACGTACGTATGTATATACGTAATGTATAATTAAATAAAATTTTCTATATTAGTAAAAAAGATTTAATATACGTATAAGCTTATGTGGAAATTTAATACGTAAATATATTTATATATATTTATATATATATCAACTAATTAATTGCCGGAAATCACCATATATATAGTATAAAAGCCTCCCTTGATAGGTATCCTGGGCCTATACCAGGGTTAAGATTATTACTATATCATATTATTATTAATAAACCTAAACTTATTAATACAATATAATTACGTACGACAAACTCAAACACGCTACAATAACAGATCATATTCAAGTATTAAACCTGAACCTATAATAAGCTTATTCTACGTATTCAAATTTAAATATATATATAGTAATAAAAGTTTATTTAGGTCCAGTGTAATAAGATAGTCTTGAACAAAAACGCTTCCAGCTACATTATAATTTAATATGATCCAATAAATAGATTTTCATGATTTTGGGATTATTTGAATAATGGCGAAGATATCTTTCTAGAGCTTTCAACGTGCTTGTAGTGAATTTTTACTAGTGAAACATCAAAACAGTGCTGGCCGATGACCAAGTCACATTTTTTTTGATATGCATATGAGCTTGGCATACAATTATGACTTTTTGGGTCATTCATATTGGTCATATAAATTTTTTTTATTTTTACTATGATTCTTGCTATATATATTAAAAGATCATAAAGTAATTCTTCGTTATTATCAAATGACCTATGACAGGTCATAAAGTCATACCAACCTTCGATATGACAAAATGTCCTATGAAAGGTTATCGGTCAAAAGTGAAATCGAGTCTTTATGAAGGCTCGGTCCAAAGTTAAGTCTGGGACTTGCACATGCGTTTTAATAGATAAATAAAATGCAATACATTTTAATCAATGGTTATGCATGCAAGGTTGCGCCAATCAAACAATCAAATATCTGATCCCATTTGGGGTTCGATCCTTTAAGTCTTTCGAATCTAAAAAAATCGACTCAAAAAAGTTTGTGCAAAGTCAACTCGAAAGACCGACTCGGACTGGAGATATCCAATCAAATAAACTCTTTCTCTAACCCTTCGTCATATAGGGGTTGTTTAAAGCAGGACGCAATCACGTGATCGGTGACCAATAAACTTGATGGTTTTGATAAACCCGGATCAGTCCGACGAAGAAAAAAAAGTAAAAAAAACAAGAAACGAGTATCTAAACCTACCTTGGGACGTCTAAAGCGGAGCAGATTCTTATAATATATATTTTTTTGATTTTAGGTAGTTATATATAAGCAAAATTGCTTTCCCGACATTTTTAATTAAACTGCCCGAGGTAGGTTTAGACTGCCGTTTTTCGTATTTTTCAGGTTTTTCGTTTTTATTTCTTTTGCTTCGCCGACGATCATCAAAATTCTATAATTTAATTAGTCGTGTATCACGTGATTCACCTCCGCTTTAGACCAGGGACGCCGATTTTTTTTAGGTAGAAAAGTGATGGCAAAAAAAGTCGCGACCATGTGATCGCCGACCGTTTCCGACCTACATGACATCAGATCGAAAGGTAAGATAAGATAATCAATAACTTTAATTTTTGTGTTCGCAAATTCTTTTGGAACAAATTAACGTTAAGCTAATTAGCTTAACGTAAATTTGTTCCAAAAGAATTTGCGAACACAAAAATTAAAGTTATTGATTATCTTATCTTACCTTTCGATCTGATGTCATGTAGGTCGGAAACGGTCGGCGATCACATGGTCGCGACTTTTTTT